CGTCCTTCCTAAGAAGCTTGATGAGCTGAAGGTTGCTGTCTATCTGCGTGAGGTCCAACTCATTTTCCTTTTCTTCCATCAAGTCCTTAAGATTTTTCTCCACGCTGTTGAAATAACCCAGCACCTTCTCGGTCAAATCTCTTCTCACATACTTCACAGATTTCCTCATGTTTGCCTTGTGTAGAGCATCCTTCTCTGCCAGCTGTCCCTGCAAAGAGGCAAGGTCGGATTCTCTCCTAGCCCTCGATTCCTCGAGCCGAAACCCCATGTTTGTCGCCTTGACGCACTTGTCCTTCAACGTCTTCTTCTCCGCCTCGAGAGCTTTTATCTGAGCTTTTGCCTGGGTCATAGTGGAGGAGAGTTTCCGTTCGGCATCTTCCAGTTTAGTCTGGAGCATGGTAGCATCCTTCCTCGCCTCGTCGACCCGCCGCTGATCCTTGCGACCATCCGCCTCGTATCCCACGACCAACTCATTTATAGACGCCACGAACTGAAAAATAGCAAAATGAAAAGTATTAAATCCGAGCCAATACTTAAACAAAAACGAATGAGAGTTTTGAAAACCTACCTTGGTGCCTTGCTGAGACACACTGGCATAGGATTTTGCTTCGTAAGCGAGTCCGCAGGTGGCAACCGAACTCCTTTGTTATTGATCTTCGACAGAAACGATGTCATCGACAAGACAAGGTGCAGGTTCGCCATCAATCAGTATGGTGCGTCTCTTCTTTGTCACAGTGACATCCTTCCCCTTATCACATTCCGAAGCAGAGCGCTTCCGGTTCGAGCCACCTTTGTGCTTTATCAGAACCAAAGCAGAAGATCTCGATCGGCTCGGCAAACTCAAAACAATGAGTCGGTCCTCACCACCAGACACAGGAACCTCGGAGGATCCGGTGGTATCTTTTCCAGATATCTCGGAAGGGATCTCGGGAACTTTCTCCGAAGCTTGAGTATCGGCTGGGTTCGTCTTGGGAGCGTTATGAGGCTCTTTATTGTTGCCTGCAGCCTCGGCATTTGATTCTTCAGCCCCCGGAGAGATTGGTTCGGCCTAAGCGGTCGACGTCTCTTCTCCCTGGGCTTGGCTCGCTTTCACTTTGTCGGCCTCTCCTTTTTCTCGCAAAAAGATAATTACACCATCTTTTCGATCGTATCATCCAAGGAAGTAGAAGAATTTTGAATTGACGTGAGCTCCAGCAAATAAGGCTCTCGGTTTCTCAACTTTCCCGAACGAGAAATGCTTCGTCCAATTAACTTTATGATCAGTGAGAACTTCTCTGGTTTCGCAATATCCTCGGGAACTGGTGGAAGCGGATCGCGAACTGCAAGAACAAAAAAACTGTCAAAATCGAGCAGAAAAATACAAGCAAGCAAAAAACTGCGAGTTGACTACCGAGTAATCCCCAACCCGTCTTGGTTAAATTAAGAAAGTCATTCCTGACGGAAGCCTCGTCAACAGGGACGTAGAAAAAATAGTCATCTCAAGAGTTATCTTTGCTCGGAAAACCTCTGATGATCATCCAAGATCTGTTTTTCGAGATATAATGTCTTCCCAGTTTAGAGGACCATCGAATCTCCAGAAAATTGCAAAAATGATTGACCCCAATTTCGATGCCGCACTCGTAACCTCGGACCAAGATTCCGATCATATGCCGGAGACCCCACAGCATGATCTGTCCCAAGGAGATCCCGTGCAACCAGAGATATCACAATATTGGCTCGGGCAATGGAAACCAGAGGTAACACAACTCGAAGAAACTTTTGTAAACTATAAAATTGTTTGGTGGGGGATCATCGGCTTGGTCAAAAGGTTTGGGCGCGACAAAGTATATCGCCTCGGAAATCCTACAACGTTTCCTCGGCTTTCGTAATGATTCTTCAGTCGAAAGAGATGAACCTGGAGGATCTGGTTTCTTCTTTTTCTTCTTCCAAGAGCCTCGCGGTTTTGAGGGACCCGCTCTGAAATTTGCCATCGTAATTTTGATCTCTCGTCTAGCCGCGGCAGGATCGAAATCAAAATCCTCAGGTTCAGGCTTTATGTCATCAAATGCATTTGTCGCTTTGGCATTCCGAGGAGACAAACCATCAAACGAGCTCGGCGCGATATCCATGATATCTCGGTTGATGCACAAGGCAGAACTCGCGGAATCAGCAGAAATGCTCGGCTCGGTTTGGTTTGACATCTCGGATCATGAAAAACTTAATCGGGAAAAGACAGATAGATCTAAAAGATATAAAAGATGTCGAAGGAGGATAAGAAAGTTTGAAGGTGGATCGGAAAACCCTCAAGCAAATCTAAAACATCAAAGAACTCTCCGCGCCTCGGATAATAGCCCTAGGTGGCGCGGTGAAATAAAAATTACTAACCCAAGAAAAAAACGAGAGAGGTCAGAGAGGAGAGAGGTGAAAACTATCTTTTGGAAATTTTGGAAAAGTGAAGATTGTGAGGAGAGATCAAGGATGTCGAGCTTATATAGAGACTTAGGCGTGTGGGGTCTGCTTTGCCTAGGGAAACAGCGAATTACAATGGGCTCAGGGAAGCAAAAACAATTCATAAGGCCTAACCCCAAGTCTAGAATAAATATAAAAAAAATTGGCATGTTCGGTTCGGTGACTTTGTGCCTCGACACGTTCTCATCCGAAAATAGCTCGGCACTCTCTTCACCTCGGAATCTCCTCATCTCGATAACTTTTGTCAACTTGTATATTCATATAAAAACATCTCAGCAAAATTGATCGCAACAACTTCGAACTTTGAGTGAACGTAAACGAATCGCAACTTTATTCGCCGAGAACAGCTTGCCAAACCAACACCAATACCTTGGCTCGGGAACATTAGCTGCACTGATCTCCTCTTTGCCTCGGCTCAGCAACAAAGCAGTCCAGATCTCTTCGTCTCGGCAATTCCACAGAACCACTTCACCTCGACCGACTTTGGCTCGGTAAAAACAGAAGCAGCACTGTCATCTTGGCTCGGATCGTCAAAAACGTGCCTTAGATGCACCCTTTTGGCTTGGCAAGTCGCATTCGCGATACCGGCTCGGTACCACGTTCTCATTTTGGTTCAATTTGGCTCGGCAAAAACTAAAAAAAAAAAGGACAACTAAGAGGGAACGAGCCGAGCCAAAAGCCTCGTGTTACCTCGGCAAGGGGATTTATCACGTGATCCAGCAGTTTAGGGTTAAGGATGCGAAATAAACCTCGACAAAACTGACGAGCTGGAGGCAAATGTTGGGGTCAGTTTTCGCCGCATGAGTTTAACTGCTTAAAAAAGTGTCAAAATTGGACTTGGAAAAACCCAATTCCGCAATTTCTCCGAAAAAGACCAAATCGAAATATAGGATATACTGTAAACCGACCCAAATCAAAATCAGTTGGGTGATCGACTCAATTGAACCGAGCCGAACCAAATATTGGTTTGGACCGGCCCGAGGAACGTCTCAACCGGCCCAAGCTAAACCACAGGAAGAATGATGGAACCGAGCTGGACCGGAAGATTCTATGTGTACTTGAGCCAAGGAGTAACCCATAAACGGGAAGTAGATTGGGCCGAAGGAGAAAAAGAATGGGTCGAGCTAGAGGGTCGATAACGTTAACGAGCCAAACCGGATAGTCAAGGAGCCCCGTTAAACGAGTTCAATGGATTTTACCCTAGAAGGGATCAAAATCGGCAACCGCACGAAGGAAAAGGAAAATTTCTGAGAATCTCTCCTGAAATTCTTATTTAAAAGGTTTAGGGGACTTAGTATAAATAGTCGATATAATTCTTTCATTAGGTAACTTTTACGCAACCGCAGAAACCCTATGCAATAAAAACTACTTTTCGATCTTTATTTTTGAGATGTTTTACTAGAAATTTTGGTTATCTCTTTTTCTTTATAAATCTTGATTGTGCGAATTTTGACTCACACAAACATCTACTTTAGAGATCTGAGCCGCCGCAAGCAGCGGAAGCCGTCGGTGGGGTTCGGTGGGTTGCGTTGCAAGTTGAGGAGGATCTGCGGAAGGTGTCGTGTCTGATGCAGCCCCATAGATTTGGGTCCTCCTCGACCGGATCTGAAGGTGTGGTGTTGAGGCAAGGCCGTTGGAGAACCCTCTTCAAGATGGAAGAGGAGCTAATGAGGATGTCGGAGATTGAGTGCTTGCTCCGGCGAGCAACTCACCGGTTAAAAACCGTGTGATGTCTGTCGTTATTTTTATATGTCGCCGGGACCGGTTGAGTGGAGATCAGGTCTTCCGGGTTTGGGAACGACCTCCAGAGTCGGGTCTCCGGCTGCGTTGTGAACGACCCGGCAGTGTGCCGCAAAGCTCACCGGTCACACCTGCCAGTGTGTTCGTCAATCGGACGGAATGGCCCTAAATTTGTCACCGCTTCTTCTTTTTTTTTCGATTTCATCATGGTTTTTTCGATTTTGATTTTATTAGCAGTTTAATTTACTGTAAATCTGGTCGATCGTCAGTTCGAGTCGGTTTAATTAATATAATATTTTATTAAAGAAAAAAAAACATCTACTTTAGACATTCAGCAAGGAACGGAGATGCATGAACATAATTTGCATAAACCAATACATTCATAGAGACCATGCAAAAAGCCAATGATTAGTGTTTGCTTTGTAAAAGATTCATGGATTTCTCCTACTCAGCCGGCGGGAATTGAATTGGCTCTTTACAACAAGGAATAAAAGCTTATCATGAAGGCAAAAGTACATCAACCACTAAAAAATCTTCAACTAAATTAGAAAAAACAAAAATTTGGGAATATTTTTCTAAGGAAACGGTAGACTTCACAAAACAAATATCTTACATTCTTGCCATGTGTGGCAATTTAATAGGCTAGTCGTCACTTGAAGTAACCGTCGCTTGTTGCTTTATTATAAAGGCGGTCCCAAGTCAACTCGCGCTTCTCTGCCTCCACTCAATTTGCTGATGCAACTCAAACACATACGCAAGCTCACACCTATAGATACGTTGCATACATGTATATATTATATCTTTATAGAAATGCTCAAAAATCAAAAATCGTGCCTTTTAAGGAAACTGTAGCCTGCAGAAATACATATGTATTTATCCAGAAACAGATCCTTTTTCTAGATCATATGTTTCCAAAATTTCTTCTTACTATCATTTTTCTCCAGATCATCTCTTTTGGCTCTTTTTCCAGAAATCCATCAATCATTCTTGCTAAATTATTTTTCTAACTACCGGGAATATTCTTAATATTTTTTCTTCTATCGTGTTGTTCTATATAAAGCAATAACATCAATTCTCATTATTACACTATCGTACTACAAAGATCTTCTCTTTGTCCTTCGTTCTGGGTTTATGGTTTTTATCACAATGAGCTTGTTAGTTAAAGCTCTTGTCTTTGTGACATTTTTTGTAGTAACAGCAGAATCAGCTCCTGAATCTGCTCTTATCACCAAAATCCCTGGCTTTGATGGCACTTTTCCTTCAAAACACTACTCCGGGTAATAATTGAATTCTCTGTTTTTTTTTTTTTTTTTGATAATTGGAATAGATCACAGGCCGGAAATCGAAAATAATGCCATTTGCAAAATTCTCATCTTTAAATTTTATTCTTTAGAATTCTTCTTTATGGGTTAATTTCCTAATTCTATCTACTTTTATGGTTTTGATTCTAAAGGTACGTGACGATTGATAAGGAGCATGGGAAGAATCTGTGGTATTACTTTATTGAATCAGAGAAGAATCCTTCCAAAGATCCGGTCGTACTCTGGCTTAATGGTGGTCCAGGTTGCTCAAGCATGGATGGATTTGTCTACGAGCACGGTCCTTTCAATTTTGAGCCAAAAAAGGCAAACACTAGCCTCCCATTATTGCAACTCAATCCTTATAGTTGGTCCAAGGTAATTTTTAAAAAAAATTAATCATATAGATTTTTTTTCTTTTTTTTTTTCTTTTTGACTGAAAAAATTAATCCTTATAACTGGTCCAAGGTAATTTAAATTTATCATATAGATTTTTACTTCTTTCTTTTTTCCTACTTGTAATGTTTTGACTTTTGATGTACGACCTGTTTTCTTTTTAGGTGTCTAACATCATATACCTTGATTCTCCTGTTGGTGTGGGATTCTCTTATTCAAAGAACGAATCTGATTACCAAACCGGTGATATTAAAACCGCGATTGACTCTCACGCGTTCCTTCTCAAGGTAAATTATAAGAAATGGTTTTCAGTAAATAGAAGTTTAAATTCACGATGCTATAGTCGAAGTTCTTTTTTTTTTTTTTTTGAACCTTTATAGTCGAAGTTCTTTTTAGGATATTAATGAATTTTATCTAAATGAGAGCTTAGAAGCGGAACTCACATTTTTTTTTGGTTGAAATTTATGCATACCTACGTAACATTAATAACACTAACATAGAATAGAATTAATTTAAGAAAAATATGAATTGAATACTACTAGATATATATGAGTATTTAAGGAAAACTAGGATGATGGTCCGCACGCATGTGCAGACACGATTGGTGTTACGAATTTTTTTTATATACTTGATATATATATATATATGTTGATCATTAATATAAATTATATTTATTGTAATGACCACCATATACTAATGACTCTAAATGATTGGTTATCACACTTGTACAAACATCAAATGTTTGTTAAAACTTAAATCTCCGGACGTTGAGAAACATATACTCACATATGTTTGCAGTGAGTTATCGTTTTTGGAATTTACAATTATCACGTAAATTATATTTTGTGTTTTTTCATACTTTTTTATCAAATTAATTCGGATATTTTAAATTGTATAAGTTTATAAAATTTTTATAATTATTTTAATTTTTAGTAAAATATTAGGAATATATAATAAAGTATAGGTAGTATTTCAATAAAAATAATAAATTAATGAATTTTGGTCCAACTCAGTCGTGATTATATTAATATAATTTTTTAACATACTTAACTTGTCCTAAGTGCGTCTAGGTGGTTCGTCCGCTTATGTTAACATACTTTAATTGTCTTAAGTACTAGTATTTTGAATGTATTTCTATATATGTGTTCCATGTATTTTGCATGTATTTCTATATGTATTCTATGTATTCTGCAGATATTTTTTATCCACCAAAAATTTTTATACATTTTTTTAGGTAGTTATCATAGATAATCAAATTTGAATATATTTTAAAATAAATAAAAATAATAAAAATTACAATCACATTATTTCTTTTATCTAATACTTAGTTATTTTAGGCTGAAAATTAAAAAACAATACAAAGGATATTTAAATAATATTGAAGGCACTATATGCGAGTAAACTTAATTCTTGATTATTAAAAATTTGTTGTTCTAATATTTAAAATTTTAAAAATTAACAACACCTAAAATATTAGCAACAAATTAAGTATCAAAATAATTAATAAGTATATATTTTGTATTTTATTTTTGGCCAATAAATATTTTTTTAAAACAAATTCAGTTTTTTTTAGGGATATAATACACATTTTAGAGATTATGTGCCATAGATTGAGGTTATCATTACACCAACTTTAGATTACAACGACAAATATATATTGAGATTAAAATCATAGATTTTACAAAAAAAAATTATACAAATATAAAAATATACTTTTTGTCTACAAGAAGACTTTGTACAATGTAAGACAATATAAAATTTACAAATTACAAATTGTTGGTTTTAAAGAAAAGCTAAACTCTAATTCCTAATAAAGCAACTAAAAATAAAGCAACATTTTTATAAATCAATACATCCAAACCCTTCTATCCATATTTTTTCCCTCAAAATCAAGCAATTTTTTCGATTCATATTCAAGAATTGTGGCTTATAATATTTACTAAAGCAATGAGAGTCTAGAATTCTTGCATATCCAAAACACTAAGGAAAAAAAGAATACATGATTAGTGAAAAATGCCATGTAAATGTGATTCATATTTCTTCTACTTTAGAAATTACTATATAGTACAAGAAAGAGGGACTTTTCCGTCGAATTATTTACGACGACATTACGTCGTATTTACGACGACCAAAAATTTCGTCGTAAATTCGACGTAAAAAATAACCCTCGTAAAATCGTCGTAATGTTACGACGATTTTACGACGAATAAAGAACGAATTTTATTTCGTCGTAATCTTGTCGTAATATTTACATCGATAATACGACGAATTGTCCTCTATCTTGTAATTGACGTAAAATCGATATAAATGTGATGTAAATTTTATTTCGACGTAAATTTGATGTAAATATGCAATGGTAATATGTTGGTAACCAAACAAAAAATTCTATATATACCCTTTCTTCTCTCATTATTCCATCATCCCAAAAAAACATATAAAGACACAAATTTTTTGAGTCTTTGAATGTTTAAGTAAAATTTTTGGTAGTTGAAATTTCTATCAAATTTCATTATTCCATCATCCCAAAAAAACATATAAAGACACAAATTTTTTGAGTCTTTGAATGTTTAAGTAAAATTTTTGGTAGTTGAAATTTCTATCAAATTTCAGAAACAAAAAGTCAAATATTTGTTTTTGAAATGTCTATATACGATCTACGAAAGTGGATGTATACGCCCAAAAATGGTGATGGGTCGTTGACTGAAGACTTCAAAAACGGATTGGAAATATTAATGTACCAAGCCGGCCTTCTGGAAACTGTAATTGAAAGCGGCAAAATGTATTGTCCTTGTGTGAAATGCAAAAATAGGAAACATATTCTTATTGACACTGTCTGGCAGCATTTATTGAATAGAGGGTTCATGCCCCAATACTTTATTTGGTATCAGCATGGAGAGGGATATGGTCAAAGTAGTGGTCAGATGGCTGCACGGAGTAGTAGTAATCATCAAGAACATGTGGATTTTGAAGCGTCCAATGATTATCAAAGTAGTCAAGTTCAGGGTGAAGATCATGATAGGATGCATGAAATGATTACTGATGCATTTCATGAAACACATGCTGATACTGTTGAGGAGCCCAATGCAGATGCGAAACGCTTTTATGATATAAATTATTTTTGAATTTAAATTTCAATTTAAATTCAAAATTTTTCTATTTTTAATTTCTTGATTATTTTAAAAATTCATTAATTAAATTAAAATTGAATTAAATAATTAATTTATAAATCGACGTAAATTCGTCGTAAATTTACGTTGATTTAACGTCGAATATTTAACGACGAAGTTACGACGAATAAGTTTACGTCGGCTTTACGTCGAAACTTTACGACGATTTAACATCGACAATTAAAAATTTAGTTTCCCTTAATTGAAATTGTTCGTCTCCTAATCGTTGTTAAATCGATGTAATTTTACATCGATTTTACGTCGTTTTTATGATGGAGTTCTTTCGTTGTACATCCGTTGGAAATTTTACGACGCATTTACGACGAATAGTTCCCGACGATTTTACGACGATTTTCCGGAGTTGGTAATTTTACGACGATTTCGGTTTTACGACGATCGTTTTACGACGATTTTTAATTCATCGTTAATTCGACGTAAATGCTCTTTTACGTCGATTTTACGTCGATATCTGCCGACGTCGATATATTAATCCTGAAGCTGAGAAAAGTTAGCAATCTTTCTTCGTTAAATTTTTGTGGATCTGATGTATCAATAAAAATGTGTCCTTGAACTCATTACTCATATAAACACCAATGAAATGTTTTCGCAGTGGTGAAGGTAACCACATCACATACAACTATAATCTGTTAGCATACAAAAAAAATATTGATTATGATTTGTTTGTTTATTAAGCAATTAAATTATTCATTGAAATTAAAATTATACTTAGAGAAATAAAAAAAATTACTAACATTTTCATGACAGAGATTGCGAGCTTGATCTCATAAAATGTACGCTTGACTTCCATCTGATAATCAACCATGTTAACACCTACAAAAATAGAGAATAAATAATTAACCAATAAAAAACAATTTGTCAAAAAATTGATAACTATCTTACAAATTCATGAAGTAATATAGAGTTTAGAGATTTACTAAGACTTCATTGTCTCATAGGTATATTAACACTGATTCGTCAATTATATCTACACAAAATTAAATAAAAATATTAGTAGTCATATAAAGTAAAACAAATATGCAGAGAGAAAAGAATGGTGAAATTGACATTAGTAAAATGTATATTTATAAAGAGAGAAGCATACCTAAGAAAATTTAGGTTTATCAATTTTAAAAAATAAAATCAAAATATTCATTGATTAGATGCAGATTTTATATCCAAATTATTGTTACGAATTTATTGTTCAAATATTTTAAAGTTTTCAAAATCATTAACAGCGTCATTAATGGCAACAATATAGGAAACACACTAATTTTAAAAATATTTTAAAAAAATTTGAGAGATATAGCAATAAAAAAGACTTGCTGGAAAAGATTCAAAGATTATATACAACACATAATTAATTTTTATAGATTTAATCTTAGTAAAAAGCATTAAATAGATGATATCGTAATAAATAATCTTTCCATTTTAGGAAACAACATTATCTTATAAGATTAATAATTAAATATATTTAAATATATTTTTTTATTAAATATATGCAGGGATATCGAGATATGTAGATTTGCATATATAAATACATTTTTCTTATTAACTAATTTTTATACTGTTTATATTTTTAAGTATTTGAAATTAAATTTCTTTTTTTAATCAAACTTATTAATTTTCAAAATCAGATCTTAAAAATATTTCTTATATTATTTTTATTTATGTTAAATTTTAAAATTTCAGAACCAAACCTGCAAATATTTAATTATTGTTTTAATTTATATAATTATAAAATTAATTTTAACTAAAAAATGCATAAATTTTAAAATTAAATAGGAATGGTGGTAAAAGAAAATTTAATAAATTTATTTAATTTTAAAATTTATTCAATCTTAATATCTCATTTATTGTTTAGAATTTTTCTTGGATTTGCATTAATTTTTGAATTTAATGGAAAATTTGATTTTTGAATATATTTGTAATTAATTAAATAATATCCAAAAAAAAATAAAAGAATCTGAATTATATGGGTCGGCTATAAAAGATCCGCGTGTTTTTTAGTGGATCAGTTCAAAAGATCCGCGTGTTTTTTAATGGGTCGGATCAAAAAATCTGCGTGTTTATCCATTTTTAATTAATAAATATTAATATAATTCATCTGATTAATTTTTTCTCATTAAACTGAAACCAATCAGAAGTATCCACATCAGTGTCTTTGTCTTGTCACATTTCACGTGGAATAAACGTCATCATTGATATAAGCAAGAAACTTTTTTTAAACCAATCAAGTTAAAACACTTAAGATTTTTTCATTAAACTACATTCTCATTTAATATATAAGAGGATATCAAATACTCAAACCAATTACAAAAGTATTTTACAGGGTTCAATAAATACACAGTTGAATAACAGTAGAATTAAAAATAATTTTTATTTATTTCAAATTCAATAAATTCTCTTTTTTGAATAATTTAACCTGTTGCCACAAAAAGAATATTTTAAACCACAAATACAAAAAATTCTTTCTTTGCACAACCAGCTTCCTAAATGTTTTTTTAGTGTACTTTAGATCACTAAGTGCTTCTTTCGAATATTCTTCACCAGTGGTTCCACATGTTTCCGGAGTTTCAATCAAACCCGTTTTACATCTCTGGAGAATCTTACGCCGGAGTTTATGTCCCTACTCTTGCTTCAGAAGTTGTCAAAGGTAATGCTCTTTTCAAGTTTTCATTTAATCGAAAAAATGCATCGTCTTGAGCTATTTTTTTTCTCCATTTCTTTGGTTATGTTGCAGGGAACAAAGATGGGTTAAAACCAGCTCTTAACTTCAAGGTAACGATATTATCGAGTCAAGCTCAGTTACATGAGTTCTCGTTTAGTTTTTCGGGCATATTCATTGAACAAGCTCTGATTTCGCACAGGGATATTTGGTTGGAAATGGAGTTGCGGATTCAGTGTTTGATGGAAACGCTCTTGTCCCATTTGCACACGGGATGGGACTAATATCTGATCAGCTCTTTGAGGTTTGTTTAGTTGCTCAATGGATGAATATTTTTTTCTGGTTATAAATCTAATACATAACAAGAAAAACCTCAGGACGTTACCGAAGCTTGCAATGGAAATTTTTATGAAATAGATGGACTTGATTGCGAGGAACAGATGACGAAAGTTCAAATGGTATAATGTTAACTTAAAGACATTGAGAATATATTGAGATCATCTTTTAATCTTTTTGTTTTCGTGTCAGGATGTTAACAAGTTGAACATATACAACATTCTTGAGCCATGTTACCACGGAACATCGCTATCCGCTTTTGACATTAGATCTCTGCCTTCAAGTCTTCTTCAGCTAGGCAAAACCGAAAAACCATTAGCCGTAAGAAAAAGAATGTTTGGTCGAGCGTGGCCAGTTCGTGCGCCTGTTCGTCCAGGCATTGTTCCTAGCTGGTCTCAGCTCCTTGCTGATGTCTCTGTTCCTTGCATCGTAAGTAAACTGAAACCTAGAGCCTCTCTTCTTTACCACTTCAGAGTATAAGCTGAACAATCAACGCTTACTTTCAGGATGATAGAGTTGCAACAGCTTGGTTGAACGATCCAGCGATAAGGAATGCTATTCATGCTAAAGAGGTCTCAAACTCTGTTTGATCCTATTGCTATATTTTATAAAAACAGATCATTGATGTGTCGGAAGTTTACAGGAGAACGAGATTGGAAGATGGGTACTCTGCTCAGGAAAACTCTCATTCGATCACGATGCAGGGAGCATGATCAAATTCCATAAAAACCTCACTCTAAGTGGATACAGAGCTCTCATTTACAGGTACTTACACTAAATACATCAAATAAATCTGAAGCCTTGCCTCAGTTTAGAAAATGATGAGACAGTTTTGGTTTGAAGTGGGGATCACGATATGTGTGTTCCTTTTACTGGCTCTCAAGCTTGGACACGTTCTCTTGGATACAAGGTGATTGATGAATGGCGGGCATGGATATCAAATGACCAAGTCGCGGGGTAATTTTTCTTCGTTGTTAAAAATATGATTTTGTTTCTGGAGCTCTCAACGTTTATACAAACGATGCATATTTTTTGCAGGTATACGCAAGGATATGCAAACAATCTCACATTTCTGACCATCAAGGCAAGCATTAAATCTTAATTCTCTATTCAAATAGGGAAAATATTTGTTATCCTTCTGAATGTTTATCCTTGCGGTGGTAATTGCAGGGTGCAGGACATACGGTTCCTGAGTATAAACCGCGGGAGGCATTGGATTTCTATAGCCGATTTCTAGAAGGGAGCAAGATTTAAGAGAGCTCTCTATTTAAAAAAAAAAAAACTGTTAGATCATCTTGTTATGTATTGACTCCTTTGAATAAGAAACATGTGTGTTTTCAGCAAGTGAATGATTTATTCTTCGTGGTTCATCCTTAACCATCATCTATTATTCTTCTTCTACCAGAATGCATGCTTTTTCTAAGCTCCACGTTTGAGCTATTTGCCGTAATTCAATGTGGGCAAACTATAACGCTAAATGACTAGAAATTTTAGTTAGAATTTCTAAGCTCCGGATCGTTGTTTTTGGTTCTGGTTTGATCACTTGATGAGGGTAACGTAATTAGTACAAAGTGTTTTTTCTGCTGCTTCAGATGAAACTCTTTCTTGTCAAAGGGAACGAATAAGAAGAAGACTACCTCCGGTGTGAAACTTGACTTGTTGTTCTGTCCTGTTTTTAGTTATTTCACTTGTTGTTGTTTTTAGGTTTTTCTAATAAATACATCTGTTCTATAACTTAATTGTATCTATAACTTAATGTTCACATGTTTGCAGAATAGAATCTATGGATCTAAGATTTTTCCCCCATTCCAAAACAGGATACATTAAGAGAGTTAGATCAGCAGCGGTTACAGTCATGTTCCGTATCTTATTTATCAAGATCTTCCTCTACGGAGATATTGTTCTCAATACTTTTTACGTTATGGAGAGATTGATAGATTCCACAAATTTTCTCTTTTAAGAAGAGATAAATCTCTAACATTTCCTCATTTATGAAGATATAGTTTCCACTCATTTCCTCTTTGACGGAGAGATCACTTTCATATGTATCCTCCTCGTAGGAGCGATGTGTTGTAAGCTCTGCTGTGATGGTATATACATTAGCCATGCGAGCTATATTTGACCACGAGTTGGTTTTGATCAACTTCTCGAAGATTGCCTTCAAATATGATTCCATTCAGGTGTTTAGAGCTATTTCTTTATGTGCAAGCTTTCTGGAGTTCCGTGGCACTCTTGAGTCTAGAAGATAAATTCTTAAACTGTTATGTCTACATTTATGTAACTTTTCAATATTGTATTGTATGCATTCCAGTCATTTAAGTATTTAATATAAGCATTAAAAAAAACAAAAGGTGTGTAACATCCCTATCCCAGGCTCCTAAGAGAGCGGGAACCGGGTATGTTAGATCGGCCATCGAACCGCGTCCGGTAGGATGTCCGATTTGGTAAGCACACAGGATCGCCAGGAAAACGCTCAGGTAACAATCAACAACACAGACTTAGGCTGATCTCTCTACTAAACCTGAAAGACAAGGGGAGAGGAGGGGTGAGTAATTGGGATTACTCAGTGAGGGTGGATCTTAAGGAGGCCCACAACATCATCAAACTAACATAAATTGGTTTTAAGAGATCTAATCCTAAAGCAAGCCCAAGCAACACATATATAGATATATTTACTTATATATATAGACAATTCATTCTTAGCAATCAATCACACAGCATTCAAGGGTAACCCTACAAACAACTACACAAGCAACGGGTCCCTGGACGCGGCAGTAGTGGGCTGCCACATGGGCTCCATGCCTCACCCGGAAAGGCAACCAGAATAATCCCATCCAATGGCTGGCCTATTACCATACCCATTAGTCAGGTTCACTCTGCCAGTCACACAGACTGATCCACAGCAATCACCGAGCCAGGCTATGACACTAACGGTCACTCAGACGGCTGCTCATAGCGGTCTCACCAGAAAGCTGTACCCAGCGGTCCCTTTGGACGGCTCAATAAACAGTGGATCGCTAATCCACTCCAGCGATGACTCTAGCCGTGCCTCACACGACAGTGATAGCCAACAAACAACACTGACTCCTGCCTCCAGGAGCCAGGGGTCCTATCAGAGATCTATATGCACACTCATCCATTTCAAAGAATCATCCATTTCTTAAAGGTCCTTCCATTATTAAGATGCACTTTCGGTGATACCAATTGTAACAAAAAGGAACATTAATCAGGTCAACATCACACAACCAATATTTTAAAGTCCAATAAGTTTAGATCCAAGTTCAGGTTAATTATCTCATTCTACCAGCAACCAGCAATCATCAACAAACAGGCAACACGGATCCAGGTCCTAACAATTCTAACAACCCTAACAAGCAGATCTAAGCCTGATCTAAGAAAAGACCACTTAAAAGACAACCATGCATATGTAAGAGAGGATGAAGCCACAGAGCCCTCACCTTGGCTTAGAAGGCTGAGAAACTGGAGGAGGAGGCAGAGGAGAAGGAGATCTAAGAGGAGATCCATCAGAATCAGCTCCCATCTCACCCAAAGGAGAAGGAGGCGGCGCAGACATCACAGCGAGGCAAGGAAGCTTCGACGGCGAGAGAGGCTTGGAGGATGGTGGCGGCCGCGGCTAGGAGGGAGAGAGACACGGCCAAGAGAGAGAAAGAAGGAGAAGAAAACGCAGAGAGAGAGAGGAAGGGAGCAGCTCGGCGCATGAGGAGAGAAAAAGAGAAGAAAAAGGTGGCTAGGGTTGATTAGGAGCTTAATGAGGGTTTTAGGGATTTAATTAGGTATTTATATAGAGGTCAAATAGATGGGTTGGGCTTAATGGGCTCTTAGAAAGAAATTAGGAAAAACCCAAATAAAAAGGAAATAAAAAGAAAAGGAAATATAGATGGTTTAATTTAATAAAACCGGAATTAGGAACTGGTAACATCCGATATTTGGTTAACCAAAAGTCGGGATGTTACAATCTTCCCCCCTTAGACAGGATTCGTCCCCGAATCCTATGAGAGAGAAGTTCCTGAAAGGAATTTCGAAGACTACAAACCAAGGGAATCGAAGCCACAAATGACAAGAGGACCTTGGTCGCAGAAGAGAAGAATTCAGAAATGAACTCAGGAAATCGAAGCAGAAAGGAAATCGGAAAGGAAATCAGAAAGGAACTCAGAGAAGAAATCAGAAAGGAATTCAGAAGATAAGGCTAGGAATAACGGAGAGGAAGACATGAATGAAATCAGAAGGGGGATCAGAAATGAGATCAGGAAATGGGAGCAGGAAATGAAATGGATCCAGGATGAGAATTGGAAATGAAATTAGAAGAGAAAGCAGGAATAGAAATTCGGAAGGAGATTAGGAATAGAACCACAAGAAATTATGGCACCATAAAAGATAAGGCTGAGAGGAAAATGGCCATAAGGAATCAGAAAGGAAGTAGGAAGAAAATTAGGAATGGAAGTAGAAGGAAAGACAAAATGAAATCTGGAAGACCCAGAAATGAGATCAGAAAGAAATTGGAAATAGAATTAGGAGGAAGCAAAAATGAAGGCAGAAGTGAAACCTAATAGAGAGGCAGAAATGAAATCAGGAATGGCTCACAAATGAAATCAGGAAAGGAATTAGAAGTGAGCCATGGCAACAGAAAAGATAAAGGCTAGGAAAGAGAAAGCAGAAAGAAAAAGGAAGCAGGAATAGAACGAGAAGGAGGATCAGAAATGGAATCAGAAAAGGGAAGGCAGGAAGGAGCCATGACATCAGAAGAGATTCTAGCTAAGAAGGGAAGAGCAGGAAAGAGACCATAGGACACATGGCGCCAAGCAGGAGTTGGAGGCTAAGGGTTAGAACGCAGAGTGGTCAACAGAATCGTGTAGGAGGGAGAGTTTAAGGTATTATGCAATTTAAAACACTTTATAATTAAATCAAAATCCTTTTTCTTGTTAATTTAAAATAAGGAGTAGAACATATAGTTTAGAAATATAAAATACTTGGAACACCAACAAGGAATTAGCTAAGTCCTAATAACTAGATCCTAAAGCAAGCAATCAATCAATATAATATAATAAATAAAGAATAAGTAGTTCTACTCCTGAAAACAATTTTTTTCTAATCACTATCAGCATAAGCAGGAAGATCTTCTTCGGAGGGGTCTTCATCTTCATCCACTTCGCTATCAGAGGAGATGTAGACTGGGCCTCCAGTCTGAAAGGATCTCTCTACCCACAAGGCTCGCTTGAGGACTTCCCTTACACGACTTCCTATGCCTCTGCCCATCTCCCTGATCCTTGCCCTGAAGTTGTAATGCAGACCTTGGAAGAAGAAGTTAGCAAACTCCTGAGCTGAGTAGGCCTGGGGCGCATGCTCCATTGCATTAACAAAATCCTGGTGGTACTCCAGAAGAGTTCTGTCTGCTTGGATGGCAAACCCTCTCCAAGCACCGAGTGGATTCACCGGAGGAGCACCTGGTGCCGCTGAAGTCTTCGGGCATTGACAGCATCGCCCATGCTCCACCATTTGCTGAACGGCTGGCTTGGTCTCAGGAGGAGGCGCAGGAACTGAACTAGGCTGCTGCAGAGGAGAAGCTGAAGGAGCTCGCCGAGCCTGACTTGGTCCACTTGTGGACGCCTCATGCACCTCATTACATATCCAAGGAGTGTACTGAAGGGTCACTTGGGTCGCAGCAAGGGTCCTCTTCCTGGCTGTCTCCTTGGTCCTAAGCCCAAATCTAGAAGAGGAAGGAAAGAAGAAAAGGAAAAAGAAAATCTATTAGATCAGCGTCCATAAGTTGTTGATTGTTCTAGGTTTGAAAACATTTTAAAAAGATTTTTAATAAAAATGTTTTTGCAAACAGTTTTCTCTTTGAAAACAAAAACGGGCGCGACCACTTTAGAACGGAGCTAAAGTGATCTAATCCTGGGCTCTGATACCAATTGTAACATCCCTATCCCAGGCTCTTAAGAGAGCGGGGAACCGGGTATGTTAGATCGGCCATCGAACCGCGTCCGGTAGGATGTCCGATTTGGTGAGCACACAGGATCGCCAGGAAAACGCCCAGGTAACAATCAACAACACAGACTTAGGCTGATCTCTGTACTACGACAAGGGGAGAGGAGGGGTGAGTAATTGGGATTACTCAGTGAGGGTGGACCTTAAGGAGGCCCACAACATCATCAAACTAGCATAAATTGGTTTTAAGAGATCTAATCCTAAAGCAAGCCCAAGCAACACATATATAGATATATTTACTTATATATATAGACAATTCATTCTTAGCAATCAATCACACAGCATTCAAGGGTAACCCTACAAACAACTACACAAGCAACGGGTCCCTGGACGCGGCAGTAGTGGGCTGCCACATGGGCTCCATGCCTCACCCGGAAAGGCAACCAGAATAATCCCATCCAATGGCTGGCCTATTACCATACCCATTAGTCAGGTTCACTCTGCCAGTCACACAGACTGATCCACAGCAATCACCGAGCCAGGCTATGACACTAACGGTCACTCAGACGGCTGCTCATAGCGGTCTCACCAGAAAGCTGTACCCAGCGGTCCCTTTGGACGGCTCAATAAACAGTGGATCGCTAATCCACTCCAGCGATGACTCTAGCCGTGCCTCACACGACAGTGATAGCCAACAAACAACACTGACTCCTGCCTCCAGGAGCCAGGGGTCCTATCAGAGATCTATATGCACACTCATCCATTTCAAAGAATCATCCATTTCTTAAAGGTCCTTCCATTATTAAGATGCACTTTCGGTGATACCAATTGTAACAAAAAGGAACATTAATCAGGTCAACATCACACAACCAATATTTTAAAGTCCAATAAGTTTAGATCCAAGTTCAGGTTAATTATCTCATTCTACCAGCAACCAGCAATCATCAACAAACATGCAACACAGATCCAGGTCCTAACAATTCTAACAACCCTAACAAGCAGATCTAAGCCTGATCTAAGAAAAGACCACTTAAAAGACAACCATGCATATGTAAGAGAGGATGAAGCCACAAAGCCCTCACCTTGGCTTAGAAGGCTGAGAAACTGGAGGAGGAGGCAGAGGAGAAGGAGATCTAAGAGGAGATCCATCAGAATCAGCTCCCATCTCACCCAAAGGAGAAGGAGGCGGCGCAGACATCACAGCGAGGCAAGGAAGCTTCGACGGCGAGAGAGGCTTGGAGGATGGTGGCGGCCGCGGCTAGGAAGGAGAGAGACACGGCCAAGAGAGAGAAAGAAGGAGAAGAAAACGCAGAGAGAGAGAGGAAGGGAGCAGCTCGGCGCATGAGGAGAGAAAAAGAGAAGAAAAAGGTGGCTAGGGTTGATTAGGAGCTTAATGAGGGTTTTAGGGATTTAATTAGGTATTTATATAGAGGTCAAATAGATGGGTTGGGCTTAGTAAAATTAGGAAAAACCCAAATAAAAAGGAAATAAAAAGAAAAGAAAATATAGATGGTTTAATTTAATAAAACCGGAATTAGGAACTGGTAACATCCGATATTTGGTTAACCAAAAGTCGGGATGTTACAAGGTGAGTAAAATCAATCATACGCTTGTGTTTCGAAAGATTTTTTTTTTTCATTTGAAGTTCTTTCTCAATTGTAATTTCAAGTCTATGGCTTTCGGATTTCGTATCTCTGCAGATTTTTAGTGTGTTTTACATATACACTTTAGGTCGCAAAAGTGCGGTTGATAAAGTACCATTACACTTTCGTTGGTTTAAACGTTACGTCATATTAATTACTTATAGTAGACAATGGTCTTAATATAGTTGTTTAGGCCTTTTTAATGGTTTTGTTTTTAATGTCCGAACGTTTATATCTGAACGGCGTGAATATTGAATTTTGGTAAAAGGTCTTTATTTATGATTAAATCCATCCTAGTCCAATTATTAGTTTTGTAAGCACAGGTGTTTGGATTCCAACTCAGCTCAAGCTATTCTCCTTCTCTGTTTCCGTCTGTTAATCTTAATATAGCCACCACCAAAACGCAGTCTTAGGAATCGCGTTTTTGGCATTTTCACATATCCACTTGCAACTCTAGTCGAGTTCAAAAGAGAAATAGCTGAAAAAATCCGGTTGTTACATTACCGAGTTAGATGACACGTTCATCGGTTTAGACGTCATATCAACTACTTGTAGAAATGGTCTAAATATAGTTTAGTTAGGCGTTTTTTAATGTTGTCGTTTTTTAAGCATAAAGTCTAGAAAAGGTTTCTCTTATTTATCATTTCCATTAATAACATAAGCTCAACATCTTAGTTCAGTAAATAATTTGCTTAATTATTGATAGATTCATCGGCAAAGGAGACTTGAAGCTTCGACACTTTCTTCTTGGGCAATGCAGATGAATTGCAGAGTTTTGGGAGAGGAGACTTTCCTTTATACGCTTTGCACACTCGATCCACAAAATCATCCATATCCTGCATCCCCAAAAACCAACACAATCAACACATTTTTAGTTGAATATGAAAACGAAACTAAATAAATGAAGTCAGATTCTTCATGAAAAAGGAGTTATACATCATAGAGTGGTTTGCCGTTGACTGTGACCCATGGTACGTATTCATGCTTTGGCTTCAAACTTAAAGTCTGATTTGCATACTCAATTATGAGCTGAAATTACAAACGAAAAATAACTTATAGGGTTAAATAATTATACAATTTATGTGTATATTATGCTTGTTTTATCTGAACTTACACTTTTGGAGAGATCACCGGAGTAACAATCTTTGATGGCTTTCTCACCTCCATATTCCTTAACACATGATGATTCCCAGTTTTTTGTGTGCTTTTCAACGCACCTTATGAACCAGTAGTGCATTTTCTGCGTTTCAAAAAAAAAAAATCATCCCATTTTTCCAAAATAAAATTCTACAATCATTACCTTTTTTTTAATTAACAAAAACAACAATCATTTATTTTACTCAACTTACACACAGTGTATTTACACCTAAGAACTTTTAAGCCGGACAAAGAAACTATCAATAACCGCCAAAATCTTGTGAAACGAGTGACCGAAACAAACCGGTTGATCCAGTTTACTATTCTTAAAATTTTAAAACATACTTTATATTATGCTCCCTAAATTTTCATTAGTAATGTTTTCATTAGTAATTAGTAATGAAGTAAATAAATGCATTACTTATATACCGGATCGGGCCAGGTACTTATGGCGCAAGCTTCAATGGCATTTAGTTTGCATTCCTCTTCACCATGCTTCACAAAATTTCATAATTAATTAGAACAGAGTATAAGATAAACATACAATTAATTAATAAGGTGTATAATGATATAAATATGAAAATAAATTAGTTTACGAACAAGAAAGAGAAGAACGGATAAGTTCTGGAGAGTAATCCTTAAAGATATCGTAAAGATCATCAGAAATCTTGTATATCATTCTAAAAAATCTTATGCCAAAACATTGAAAAGAATTGGCTAGGTAAAATTAATCAATCTACTTTAAACAATTAATTAAAAAACAAGGAAGAGGAGAAACTGAAAAGAACCTGGCAAGTAACAGTCATATCATCGGAGACACGAGCGTTACCGAACGGAATGAGATTTAGATCAGTGATTGTGTGGAGATCGGAGTTAAAGATTTTCACCAGCTCATCGGCTATGAATTTTTGACAATATGGACAAAGTGATTCATAGTAAAGATTTAGCTTCACTTTGTCGGATTCTCCTGCCACGAAGTTTTCTGAGAATGTGAACAAAAGGGAAGCTAAAAAGAAGAACATAAAGTTGTTAACAGAAGAAGAGGCCATTGTTTAAAAATATTCTTTAGTTAAGGGTTGAATTGAGTGGCTCACATGTCTGAAGACAAATGCCTTGTGCAGATATTTATAGATAGTATCTATTTTACCGTTACTGTAACTGATTTTTTACTAGTTGGTAACACTTTCCACGTGGGGTCTCTTTCTTGACTTTTGTGTCCACAGTAGTAACTCAAGAATCAGAGTGAGTAGATAAACACCAGACGCTAAATACTTTTCCATCATTCGAGTATTCCACTACTCTGTATAGATTATACAAACATTTATATATACTTGAATAAGTTTAATAGGACCGTTCATTATGTTTAATAGTGAAGATCAGAGTCTACTTAAACATATATATAAAATATATAAAATTTTACAATGAATCATAATTATTTGGAAAAACGTGTATATGATAACAAATGTATTTAACTTGATAATAGTAAGGGTCCCAAATAATCAATTAAAATCTACACTAGCTGTAGGTTTTACATCTACCTATTTGAGTAGGTCTCGATGCATCTTTCAAATAATAAATTAAACTCTCTAAACTTTAATAGTTTTGGAAAAATAATCAATAAGCTTAAGTGGATGTCAAGTTTGAACTCAACTTTCCGTTTCATCTTGTTACTGAAAGATATCACATTTATTATGGGATATCTTCTATACATATTTGTTCATAATCATCTATTATAGTATTTAAGAAGTGAATCGTGCTATGATTTAACGCACAGATTTTTGTGTCGTTTTGATTAATGAAAATCATGGATTCTGATTGGTTATTTTACGTTATAATTTGATTGGTTAATCAACTATTTTTTATCATTTAAATCATAAATTAAATGCTTATTAAACTATATATTAAATGCTAAACATATTTTTTTTTTAAAAATGAAACATGGGCCATATTTCTAACTGTCGAATAACGTGGCCCAACATCCAAATTTTTAAATACAGAAACATTATACATACCTTCCAATATGTCGTTTAGGGTTTAGGGTTTAGGTGGTTTTGAGGATTATATGGGGTCTGATCTAGAGTCGCGCGATGATATTGATGATATGGACCAAACAGATGAATACGATTTTGAAGATGATTTAATTGACGACGGTGAGTCTTGTGAAGGATCTGATGGTTCAAGTGATAACTTGGAAGGTGATAGCGGTGATGACGAAGATGAAGATGATGACGATGCTGATTCGGCTGATGATGATGAAGATGATGATGAAGATGTTATGTTGGATGATGAGACTGAGATTGATGATGATAGTGAGGATCAGCAAAACGTCGAACCGAGTGATATACTCATCGAAAAGAATATTAGTATATCGGGACACCAGAATTCGGTGTGTACTTATACAGTTTCTCTTGGTTCAATGTGTTTTGGAAGGTGTGTGTCCCGTTTGAGTCCTTCCAAAGATGGTTGTACTATCTTTGTTAAGGTTTTACAGACGTGGATGCATATACTAATTTGAAACGTTCTTCCATGGAGCTCATATTATCGGATGAACAGGTATTTATTGTACTATTACACAAAATATTATAAAAATTTGTTGGTGTCTAATTGACTATTTTATTCACATGGTGTTAAAATTCAGGCCACTGTTAGAGATGGTGAGATCGGTGTCGCATCGTCTAGCATAGATGTTGGTAGTTGGATTATTATCAGTCGTTTTTATGTTATCGATTATGAGGATAGTTGTAGACCGACTTCTCATAGATACAAAATATTGTTCCTACCATCAACTATCATTGACAAGATTTCACGTAGATGTGAAAATGCTTATTTTGACTTCGTTGATTTTCAAAGGATATTGGACTGTGCCCATGATGATGACTATTTAGTTGGTGTGTTTATTTTCGGTTTAGTTATTGAATTTCGTTATTATTATGTTGCTGATGTTAATATGGTTTAGTTTTTATTGTTTATGAAGATTTGATAGGTCGGGTCTTAAATGTAAGTCGATGTGGGACGTGGTGTGGTTTACTGCCTAGAGAGCATTCTGTTCCTTCATATGGCAGTCCATGTAAGGATGTATGTGATTCCGAAATATGGGGTGCATATTCAACCGTCACATTCTGTCTGAGGAATAAACGGTACTGTTTGCTGAATGTTTTTAAACTGTATATTGTCATTTTATTTGTTCTATCTAGCTGATTATGTGTGACATGTTTTAATTTAGTGGTGTTGATTTGAGTTGTGAATTATCCAGTGAGATGGCTAAAAGCTTTTATGCATCTTGGAGACGCTGTGATCAGAATATCATTGTGTGTGTGTGCTTAGATGGGCGGTCATTGATTATTTTGGAGGTATTTTTAGTATACCAATTTATAGTCTCTATATTTTTCCTGTTTTATTGTTTTGATTCTATATGTGTTTTATGAACGTAGGCAAGATCACTATATCGTCCACTTCTCCTACTAAGTTCGAACTCAATCCCCGTATTCCAGAGTTAGATGAGTTTTTGGAACAGTAGGTTTTTTTTTTTTTTACTTTATTTTTCTAATACTTAATGGTTGTATAAGAATTTTTTTGTATTAACCCGTGGTCGCCTTCTCTCTCTCAAATCTTTTTTATAAAACTGCAGATATCCGCGTAAGAGGCCATGCACACGTGGTAGTGTGAGACGTCTACATTGAATAGTGTTATGATGCATCTTATTCAGATATGCATATATCATTTTTAAAAACTATTTACCATGTATACAAATTATAGTTTAAATATTCTTTATTCTTCAGACTTTTATATTTTAATCAATAAAATATATTGTTTAATGTCATTATTATTGTTGTTTGATATTGAAACGTGAATATCGGAGAAAATATTATAAATTATATATACACATAAATAACACATGTTTTTATTGACTTCTTGGACTCCAAGTAAGTCAAATTTATAAATATTTTAGAGGATTCGAAGATATATGTGATCATATCACAACTTTTATTTTTTTCCATTTAGCAACTATGAAAATCATGGTGGTTCTTTTATCAGAAACAAGATATAAAATTGATTATTTAATTATATGTTAAAAAGGAAAAACTTAGTAGTTAAAAGGTAAAAAGTTATGTGAACAAAGTCTATTCTTTAAAATGTATAAAATGTTATTACAGGAAAAAATTCCTAAGAAACCCTAGAAAAAATAAACAACGCGTAAACCACATAATTCTTATATCTCTATATATATGCATATATTTTGGCATAGGTATATATATGCATCTATCACGACTTTGCGAATTACCAGTCTGCATTGTTAGATTTGTTTGCATTCGGGTTCTTCGATGGAAGCGTTTGGTAAATGAGTTTTGTATTATGTTTTTAGAGACGTCAATAAGTATTAGTTTTCTTTACGGTATTCGATTGATTGTTGTTATTGTATATATGATTGTTTTTCTATTATCCATGTCTAGGTGCTCACAGGCGACTACGTGTTAATTGGCAAGTTATGACGTTTCATTTCCCTGGGGAAAGTATTTCGTTTTCTAATAATTTAGATAGACGTGTTCCTGCCAGAAAACCTAAATTCCTTGCTTGGTTTAGGTGTAATCAGTTTTATCCAGAGGTGAAGAATCTTTTATACTCGGAGATTCCTTCTATGTTTGTATGGGATCGTAAAAATAAGACAAGGAGGCCAAGACTAAAGGGAAATTCTGATGCGTGTGTTGTGGACGAATCGCCGACAGAGTACGGAGAAAAATATTATATGAGGCTCTTATTGGACATAGTTAGGGGTCCACCTAGTTTTGATGATATTAGGACTGTTGGTGGAGTCGTGTATCCTTCGTTTAGAAGTGCAGACCATGCATTAGGGTTAGTTGGTTGATGATCACAAGACAATAGTTATTTATCATATTTTCTTTTTAGTTTCTTTATTGGGGCATACTTATTTCTTATTTTAATAAAAAGCAACATATAATAAAGGATATTAGAATAATTATATATATCAAATTTGTTATAATAATAAAGGTTTAATTATAACATAATATTATTTTGTTTTGCCGTAATCTTATCGTTGTTTAAATTTTATAAAAATAAAATAAAATAAATACATATTTTGAGATATGGTTCGGCGTATATATAGAGTTGTTTCTCATTCTTTTAATATTTTGTTAACTGTAAAAGTCTGTCGGTGTATATGTGATGGATAACTCAGATCATTGCTTCTCTTTTACCGAATTCGAATATATCATAGATGGATCCTGCGACGTTAACAGTTGTGTCGGTAAGCTGTGTGTATTATGTATGTTCTTATGATATGACATATTATATGTTTTGTAAGGTGTAAATCGCTATAGTGTTGACTTGCCTTTTTATGTTTTTTGCGATAAGATCTAATTGGACGTATTATGACTGTTGGAAATTACGTTGATCCACAAAATCCTTTTGAAAGCTACATGATGAATGAGATATATATCGAATTGGAGAATCAGATGTATTGTGTACTATCATACAGTTTATAATTCAAAGCTACTTATTTACAACCAATTTTCCGCTGATTGCTTTATTTTATAATTATTAGAGGATGTCGTCTACCATGTCGTTGGTTGACAATTTTGGTCGAGATTTTCTCGATGGTTTGACCCATTGTGAGGACGATATGATAATATGTATCGTTCTGTCTGCAAAAGTTGATATCATCCGAGGTATTCTAAGGCCGAAATGCATGGTACTTTTTCGAATATAGATATAACTCGACAAAAATTAAAAGTGTTTGTTAAGTTATTAATTCTTCCAATTGTTTTTTTTGTGATCATAAGATAATTGGGTGGCTGTGGCCGCTCCTAATTACACGCGGATAATGTTGGCACCAGCTATTCCTGAAGTGGTACGTCTGCGAGAGGCATTGGTGTCAGCCGATCAATAGTGATTTCCGTTTCACGAATACATTAATCTTGGAATACTAGCCTATATATTTTTTTATATCGTGTAAAATTACATTGTAGTTTTTTAGTTTGTTATTGGCATTTTCTTCTCATATGAACTATCTTATTGAACTCTGCGTATGTGCGCGATTGTTACAATATATTATAGAAATTTTCTATTTTATAGTTAAACTAATAATTATTCTTTCATGCAATATATTGTTTAAGAATTGTAAATATTATATACGGAGGATAAATTATACAAAGGATAAACTGTAAAGATATTTTGATTGATCTCATTTTATATAATTTATTTGTACGCTTAATTATTAGTATGTATTAACGTTTTTGGTAACTTAAACCCATCGTTTAGGAATAACTCCTTAAATTGTTTACCTAAATCGCTAAAAACTTATTTATGAAATATAGTTTCTACTTTGTATATGCAGTTCCTGTAATGTTTGTCCTTTTTAAAGTTGTTATTAACTTCATTATGTTATTTTTCCGTTAAAGTATATATAAATTGATATTATCTGAGTATTAATGTTTTACTTTATACAGAGAATTAGAAGATTTTATCGTTTTTAACATTTTTAAAATAAAGAAAATTAGAAGATTTTCTCGTCTTTAACTTTTGTTGTTATATATCTATATTCTAAAAAGTAGTAAATCATATCTGAATTAGTCTAATTTATATATACATATATATATATATATATATATATATCATGTCTTCTACTCTATATATACAGACCCGTTCTTCGTCTTGGTTTCTCCCAATTTTTCTTCTTTATTACAATATCATGTGGTCTAAGCTATGTCGATTTTTAAAAGAAAATCAGCATATAATGTTTTCGTTAGGGATTTACGTCCTGGCTCTGATAACTATGTTATCAAGGTTAATATCCTCAAGGTTTGGGATGGATTCAAAGGCAGAGGGGGGTGTTCACTTGAGATGGTCTTGGTTGATCAAGAGGTTAGTGCTATAATTTATGAATATCCCGGTTAGTCAATTAGTTGTTGGTTAAGTTTTTTTTTTTTGTACTTTGGAACTCAGGGTGATAGGATACAAGCAACCGTTGAAAGAGATTTCGCTAAATCTTTTCGTAAAGATTTGATCAAGGGGAGATCGGTGCTTATCAATATTTTTAAGGTTGTTGAGTATAATTCTGAGTATCGAACTACACGAACACCTTTCAAGATAGTGTTCTATGCAACTACGACTGTCTCGGGATGCTTGGATTTCCCTCAGGAAATTCCCGAGATATATATGAAAAGTTTCCTAGATATTTTATAACCTGATTTGGACAATGGCTATTTGATCGGTACCATATCTAAACTGAAACGCAGAGTTTATTTAACGTTTTTTATGACACGGTATTAAACACTTTCTGCATTAGATATCTGTTGGATAATTGTTTTGGTTCTTTTTTTTTGTGTTACTTTATTACAAACACTAAGACGTGGTCGGACAAATCGTAAGAGTTGGTCATGTTGAGGACGTCATGGCTCAAGGAAAACGTCGTTCTAGGCTTAAGATTTATCTTAGAGATGAGAGGTAACATACTAAGTTTTAATTTAATATTTTATTTTATTTTGTGTTATTTTAACTTATATAATTGAACTCATGATCATGTATTAATTATGATAGCGACCTACAATTACCGTGTACTCTTTGGGCTGATTATGCAAAAGAAGTTGCTGTTTACGTTAAACGTAATCGCACATCCGTCGCTGTGGTTATTATAAGCCTTGCATGTATCAAAAACTATCGAGGTATATTATTTAATGATTTATTCTGATTCGATTTTAGCGAAGATTATGAACAATTTTGACATAAATTATATGTATTTCTGAAACACCGGTTTATTTAAACATTTTAGGTGAGATGAGCGTCTCAAATGCTTTTAGTACAACTCAGATTTTGTTTGAGCCAGTGTGTTCTCTGGTGGCGAAATTCTGATCTGAGTAATAATCTATTCAAAGAAATTACAGTTCGGTTTTATTTCTCATTTATGTTGTATTTATATTTGTACATATGTTAGTTCTACTATAATTAATTTTTGCATTTTTTCCGTTAAGGTTGCCTCAAGATAAGTATATTCTCATTCCTAACGAAGATGATTCGGGTGTAGATTCTAAAGATTCATTAAACAATGAATTTTTGGGAACTAATATTAGGCAGAAGTTAAGTTCTATACATTCGATCGATACGGTATGTGAATATGCGATACTCTATCTTTTTTGTTTATAAAAAAGTTTCTGTATCGGTGGTTGTCATTGATTGTTTATAAGCAGGTTGGTAAGTATGTGACATTGGCGACCATACGCTAAGTTGCCAATAGTAATTCGTGGTATTACATAGCATGCAAAAAGTCTGAAAAAGGTTCATCCTATCCACCAGAGAGAACATGCTCCTTCGCCGCTGTCTTGGAAATGCATTAATTGCAATAGCAATGTTTCTGAGTCTCACGTAGTTGCTAGGTAGTCAAATCTCTATTCTTTGAATTCGGCGTCTACACACCTTTATAATAATTATGCCATACATTTGTTTATATTTGTAAAACTAATTGTCTAATTGTTATTTTACAGTTTTTTTTGGTTGTTGAATGTG